AATGCACGCTTCTAATTCATGTACCTGCATATGTGACCTTTGTGAACAGAAATTTGCACGTGTAATCTGTGTTTACTTATAACTTTCTGGTTATATACTGCTTATATTTGTGGATTCAAGTTACTGAAGTGAATACCAATAAAAACCTAGGCCATGTTTTAAAAAAATAGGTGGGACCAGCAGTTAGCGTAATGGCTATGTCACTGGACTCCCATGTAGTCGATCGCGGTTCAAGTCCTGGACGGACCTGGTGGCTTAAGCTCACGCTGGGCATGTGTGCGTGCGTGCTCAAGATCCCAAGAGGAGAATGGAGGAGAAGGGATTGTGGCGTGGCCATCCCCCCTGGGGGGTGATTTCTTGCTTTCTGTCTCTCTGTCTGTCTTTCAGGGGAGTGCATGCGCCCTATAGCAAAAACCTCTCAAAAAAAAAAATAAGGTGAAGTATTTGAATAGACATTTCTCCAAAGAAGATACATACATGGCCAATAAATACATGTGAATATGCTCAACGTTATTAGCCATTGAGGAAATACTGATCAGAACCACAATGAAATGCCATTTCAAACTCACTAGGAGGCCTGTAATAAAAACAGACAAATAAGACAACAGCAACAAAAGCATGGATGAGGGTACGGAGAAATTGGGACCCTCAAATATCCTGGTGAAAATCTAAAATTGTACGCCTGCTTTGAAAAACAGTTTGGCAGTTCCTCAAAAGGTTAAAAACATAAAGTTACTGGGACCAGCAGTTGGTGTAACGGTTATGTCGCTGGACTCCCATGTAGTCGACCACGGTTCAAGTCCCAGACCCGGTGACTTAAACTCACACCAGGAGCGTGTGGTGTGCACCCAAGATCCCAAGAAGAGAAAATGGATGAGAAGGGATTGTGGCATGGCCATACACCCCTGGAGGGTGATTTCTCGCTTTCTGTCTGTCTTTCTCTGCCTTTCTGACAAGCATACACGCCTTATAGCAAAAACCTCTCAAAAATTATTATTTTATTTGACTTTATTCATTTATTTCATATTAATCTAACCAGAGAGGGACAGAGTGAGAGTGAGAGAGAAAAAGTGAGAAAATAAGCCACCAGATCCAGGATTCAAGCCGTGGTCGGCCATGGGGCAGTCCGGCACCCTAACCACCATGCCCTCTGCCAGCCCCACTTTTATTTACTGCTATTCTCTCTCTCTCTCTCTCTCTCTCTCTTTTTTTTTTGGAGAGGTTTTTGCTACAGGGTGCATGCACTCGCCAGAAAGACAGAGACAGAGAGACAGAAAGTGAGAAATCACCCCCCCCCCGCTCCAGGGGGGATGGCCACGCCGCAATCTCTTCTCCTCCATTCTCCTCTCGGGATCTTGGGCATGCATGCACACGCACCTGGCATGAGTTTTAAGCCACCGGGTCCAGGACTTGAACCACAGTCGACTACGTGGGAGTCCAGCGACATAGCCATCACGCTAACTGCTGGTCCCACAATTATCATCTCTTTTTAATTTGCTACAGGGCAAATGCACTCATGAGAGAGAGAGAAAGAGAGGGAAATTGAGAAAGCAAGCTGCCAGGTCCAGGACTCGAACTACGGTCAGCCACGTGGGAATCTAACAGCCACACCACCTCCTAGCCCAAAAATATTACTCTAAGGGAAATAAGTCAGACACAAAAGAGCATATGTAGTGTGATTCTTTTTATACACAATGTCCAGAATAGGCAAATGTAGGGATGAATGCAGATCAGTGGTTACTGGAGAATGGCTCATGGCTGGGCATGGGTTTTGTGGGAAGTGATGAAAATCTTCTAAAGTTAGCTTGTGGTGAGGGTTGCATGACTGTGAATATACAAAAAAACTGCTGAATTATACACTTTAAAAGGGTGATTTTATGATAGAGGTGTTATATATATTAGTAAAAAAGTATGAAAAAAGAATGCCCCATGAACCAGCAGTTGGCATAATGGCTACGTTGCTGAACTCCCATGTAGTCAACTGTGGTTCGAGTCCCGGACACAGTGGCTTAAACTCACGCCTGGCACGTGTGCGTGTGTGCCCAAGATCCTGAGAGGAGAATGGAGGAGAAGGGATTGATTGCGGCATGGCCATCCTCCCTGGTGTGTGTGGGGGGTGATTTCTCTTTTTCTGTCTCTGTCTCTCTCTCTCTCTGTCTTTCTGGGGAGCGCATGCGCCCTATAGTAAAAACCTCTCCCAAAAAAAGAATGCCCTCTATTTTAATGTTTCTACCTTTAGTTGTAGTTAAGCTTTAAACTCAAATATATTAAGGAAGCACTGATTAAAATAAGTTACTTGATTAAAGGAAGCACCCCATGTTCTCTTAATTATAGAGTGATATAGTCTCTAGTCTAAAACTGCACGGGGACAGACTAGCCACATGAGAAAAGGCAGCGACTGTAAACTGAAAAGTCAAAGATGAGAAACTTGCTATACCAAATTTGGAAACATCCAGATGCCATGGTCTACATTATTAGAGGGGTGGAGGTCCCCACACAAACACCAATCTAACTTCCTTCAGAGCAGGAAAGCCTGAGTCCACCAGACCTGTGGACGCCATGGCAAGGATACAACGTTGCCGTAGCCTGCACCGAGCTGCGTGCTTGGTGGGGCATTACCTCATTGTATCAGAAGCAAGTGCCTCTGTTACCTGAATCGTACCGATGAGGTAACCGGGTTCGCCTGGAGAGAAAGCTGTGAGTGTGAGTAATGGGGCTGTGATCTGGCTCCAGAACTATGGTCTTAACTGGCTGCTATTCTGGGCGTGGAGTAGATGACAGAGTAGATATGTCTAAGTCTCGCATGTCTCTAAGTCCATGTCCATATTCTCCTAGGCAAAGCCTGGTGGTGTCCTCCTCCCTTGGTGGCGATGACAGGGAGCTTAATTCATGCGCCCACTGCAGATGTGTCTTCTGTTCCAGAAGAACCCAACTCACTCCACCTCAAGACCCACCTTAACTTTCAACCACACCTGAGTTGTCAACTCTCCTCTCAGAGCGTGTGTCTGACCTCTCCTCTCTCCTTTCCAAACCAGACTCCACTCTCCAGTGAGGTTTGGGGCTCCTCAAAGTCACCTTCCTCTTTTAAAATTGACGCCTAGACAGTCCATACTTGATGATATGATGGAAAGAACCCTGTTTGCTGCAAACTGTGTGCAATGTCACCGGAGTGGGAGTTGCATTCTGTGACCCACAGTTAACTTTCTCTGCCCCAGGCAAAGCTCTGATGCTTGCGCAATGTCTTTGGGCAAATGTCACAGGTCCTAATTACAGGCTCCAGGAGCAAAGAGTCTAGGCGGGGCTGGCTGGAGGCCCCCTTTCTGGACCCAGGTCCAACCCTCCCCCAGCTGGTCCCACCCACCCTGCCTGCTACACCCAGGCCACAGAGGCTCACAGAGGGGCAGTGTGTGCAGTGCTGACTCACGGTGGTTCTCCGCGGCCCAGGCAAGGACCAGCGCAGAGTGGCCAAGTGGGCCCTGTCCTCCCGGCCATTCCCCGCAGGGAGCAGGGAGTAGCCAGGGCCCAGCCAGGCTTTAAAAGCCAAGAGGAAAGTGAAAGCAGAAGGCTGCCAGGGCCCGAGTTGCTGACTATTACTTCTCCTTTTTTTCGGATTTATTTATTTATTTCATCAGCGAGGCGAGAAAGAGACAGCAGTGCCAGCAAGTCTTACACTGAGACCCACCCCAGGTCATAGGCACACACACGCATACCAGCCATCCATACCGGCCATCCTCGGGAGGTGTCCGGACAGGAACCCATGGAGCCTTTCCATGCGGGTCAGCCAGCACCGCCCTGGTTTCCTGTTCCTTAGGGGATTCTAGACAGCAGGAAGGACCCACCTTGCAGTCTGTTTCAGAGACATACACGAAGGGACTGTAAAGAATTCATGGTGATCTGGAATTAAACTCTGAGTTTATTTTGGTGCAAAAGAATTTGAAATCCGTGCGGTTTGTTCATAATACACATTGTCCATGGACTCCTCGAGGACTTCCTCCCATATATATGGAAATCAAGGTGGAATTCTCATAACAAAAAATGATCATTTGATAGATTTATTTTGTAAGTGCCAGAAGCTATGTGGACTCACCAGAGAGGGACAGAGTCAGAGGGAGAACATACCCCCCCAGTGGAATGTGGTCACAACCCAATCCTGTTACCTTTCTTTTTTTTTTTTTAAAACTTTATTTACTTATTTATTTAAATTTTACCAGAGAAGAATAGAGTGAGCAAGAGAGAGAGAAAGTGAGAAATCAAGCCACCAGGTCTGGAACTTGAACCATGGTCGGCCATGTGGGAGTCCAGCGCTCTTAATCACCATGCCACCTGCCAGCCCCACCAATCCTATTACCTTTCTACACCCCATTCAGATTTTGGGGTACACATGCACATGTACCCATGTCTTTCAAGCTGCTGGGGCCAGGATTTGAACCTTCAGTCAAGCATATAGGGTCTGACTCTCTTAATCACCAGGCCATGTGGCAGGCCCAAAACAAATCATTGTGGCATTTAGAGCATGTATAATATTAGGCTATTAATAATATTTGTAGTTCCAACATTTCATTACTCCAGAAGAAAACCCCATACTGTTCCACGGTGACTCCCCACACCCTCCCAACCCCTATGCACACCTCATGTACATGCGTATTTCATATACACGGAACAGCTTATGACCTGGGCCTGGCTTCCCTTAGCACAGTGCTTCCGGCCGGCCTGTTTCAGTGCTGCATTCCTTTTTTTTTTGGAGAGTTTTTTTTTTTTTTTTTTTGGAGAGATTTTCACTGTAGGGCGCGTGCGCTCGCCAGACAGACAGAGAGAGACATAGAGACAGAAAGCGAGAAATCACCCCCCAGGGGGGATGGTCGCGCCGCAATCCCTTCTCCTCCATTCTCCTCTCGGGATCTTGGGCACGCACGCACACGAGCCTGGCGTGACCGGCGTGAGTTTTAAGCCACCGGGTCCGGGACGTGAACCGCGGTCGACTATGTGGGAGTCCAGCGACATAGCCATTACGCTAAGTGCTGGTTCCCCAGTGCTGCATTCCTTTTTATAGCTGGTTCATATTCCACTGCTTTCTGTATCACACTGCTTTATTGATCCAAGAATTGATGAACACTCGAGCTGTTTCCCCTCTTGGGCTACTGTGACTAGAACGCTTGCTTTCAGTTCACCTGAGTGTCACCTAGGAGCACAGCTGCTGGGCCATGGGGTAATTCCATGTTTCATTTTGTGTGTGTGCAACTACCCAACTTTTTCCACACTGGCTACACCATTTTACATTTCCACCAGTCCTTGATTCTCACCATGTACCCATTTGTCCCTTTCCTCTTTTTATTTCCAAGAAAGTCAGTTTCCCCAGCGTCCCTTTCCCCTGGAGCAGAGGGTGGGAGCAGCTTCTCCCTCTAGTAGGAAGGCTATTATCAGGCCAACCGCCCACTGTTGCCTTTTCCACAAATAGGTTACTGTGATCAGGAGCAGCCAAGGACAGGCTGCACCTCCCTGTGGTCACTAGGGCACACCTACGACAGCCACCGTCCTCGCGACCTGCAGCACACCCGTCCTCACACGAACATGGCGTGAAGTCTTAGCAGTCACAGCTGGGCGCAGAAAGGAAGCCTCGGCTCAGACCTGCGGTGGGCGTTTTGCTCTCAGCTCAAGCTTCACAAGTCGGGAGACGCAGCCCTCCGCCTCGTCCTGCCCAGCCCCCTCTGCGAAAGGGCCTGCCTGTCTGGGCCTGGCTGGCAGCAGACATGAATGGAGAGGAGCGGCCTCCCTCTCCACCCCCACTCCCCGGGGTTACTGTCGGTCACAGACCCGGGGCCCGCGAGAGCTATTTACATTTACAACAGCCCAACAGCGCCTGACCGCGCCAGAGCCAATGAGCAGCCCGCAAACTTGTCTGATTCTGTCTGCTCCAATCAGGAGGTGCGATCCTTACAGCCTCTTGCTCTTGTGAATCACAGGTCGGCTGTCGCTTTTCCCCTTTTATCCCGGGGACCTGACCCGGCTCTTCGCTCCTAGGCCTCCGTCCTCCGGATCCTGGAGTGGGGAAAATACGGGCGTGTCCATCAGTTGGGGAACCACTTGTGCTGGGAAACCCAGTTTTACGTAGCAATGGGGAGCACGTCCCTTCGCCCCAGAGGTCTGATCGCGTCTCTGCTGTGAAGACTTGTAGAGAGCGTTACCCTCCCTCCCTGCCAGCCCCTCCCCCAACTCGGTTTAGCAATGTGGGTTTTTACTCCATGGCTGCCTTTGAGGTGTAGACCTGGCCAACCAGGGCAGGGCGGGAGGCAGAGCTCGTTTTTACCTTTGCCTGCAACAGGGCAGACAGCTATCGTGTAAAACAGGGCCAGAGTGCGCAGAGCGGACCAAAGACGGGAGTCGCAGGGAGGGCGGGAGTCGGGCAGAGTCTGCGGAGCGTTCCGGAATGTTCGCGGTGACTTACGCACCGCGGGGAGGTAGTGCGCAGGAGAGAGGGGCAGGGACTGTGGGAAGAAGGCTTTGGAGACGAGCTCGGTTGCTCAGACTTGCTTCGTAAGTGATAAGCAGTCGTCAGATATTTTCAGGGAGAGAAAAATAATCTCTGTTTCAGAGCGTTCATGGCAGAGCAGAGGGGGCTGGAAGATGAATGCAGGGCTGTTAGAATTCAGGTTTGAGTCAGGCCCTCACACCAGGAGAGAGGAGGCCAGACAGAGGAGCAGGGACAAACAAGCACGCTCTGCCTCCCTGACCCTTTTGGGAAGGCGCCAGTTTACCTTTGGAGAACTCCCTGAGCGCTTGGCACACTGCACTCATGATCCAGGCTGGCAGAGGCTGGGAGTGGATCGATGGGAGTGCCAAAGCTCTGTTGGGTGTTGGATCTCTGTCTTCCTCTCTGTGACTCACGCATGGAAAAATAATAAATATACTTGACAACAAAATGAGGATAGTCATGGAAAGGAAGGGCACAAGCCAGAGGCGTTTTGGAGTGGAATCAATGGCACTTGATCGGATATGTGAGGTGAGGGAGGAAAGGAGTCAGAAATGACTTCAAAGCTTCTCTCCTGACTGAGGGTAGGGTAGTAGAGAGAGAGGGAGAAGCAGGGGATCACTGTTGCTGTTCATGATAGGCACGTGTGGATGCACCAGAGACAGGTGGGGGAAGCAGCCTGCAGGAGCCTGGTCATGCGCAACCCCTTCATTCTGTCTGCCATCTTGCCAGGATCCTGGTGAGTTTCAGGTCCATCCAATCAGGACTCAGACCATGGTGGGCATGTAGCTTTTGGGTCTGCATTTAGCATATGCAAACTGCCTCCCAGGGGAGTCTGGAATCCAGTCGTTTACATGCACGGTTTGAGCTGCAGGAAAAATATCCATGTATAAATATTAGCAGTAGATGGTTAGGAGTAAGAATCTGGCGTTCAGAAGAGAAGTAGAGATGAGATCTAAAGAGTTTAGATTGGGACCAGCAGTTAGCGTAATGGCTATGTCATTGAACTCCCATGTAGTTGACCGCGGTTCGAGTCCCGGGCCCGGTGGCTTAAACTCATGCCGGGCGCATGTGTGTGCGTGCCCAAGATCC